TGTTGATTGTATCAAAATAAATTGCATAAATGTAAAGATCGTACAAATAAATTTAAAATAACAATTACAAAAAAGCACTGTATAATTATAAGTATATTGTGCAATTATAAAATATAGATTGTAAAATAATAAAAACTTCTATATTAATAAAATAAAACTAAAGATTGAATATTTATAAGATAAAATTTGAATATATATAAAGAGTTGTAGAAAAGTTATATCATTTTATTAGCAGATACGTCACCTGTCAACGTATTTTCAACTGTCTGAAGGAAATTGGTTCTGTAATCAGAACATATGTCACAGTCCCCTAAGCAGTTATCACTGATGCGTTTCGTCTGGGAACTACCCAGACGAATGGTAGACTGTCTTGATTGGTAGAAAATGGAAATGTTACTAAAACAACAGTCCTCATATGTCTTAAAAATACGATTATATTGAAAATATCTTAAAAATATCTTAAAAAAGATATCCTTAGAAAACTTAAAAATAGATATGAATATAAATATATATATACAAATATTATAAATATACAAATGATAATAATAACATAATATAAAAATAAAAGTAAAAGAAATAGAATACAACATTGGTATCTCGGAACCACGGAATCCACCGCTATCCAAGACCAAAAGTCATAACCAACACTAATCCATACTAACATAAGTCAATACATAAATAAAAAATACCTAATAAATTATAACAAATTCAAATAAATTGAATAATAAATCATTCAATGGGCCGGCAAAACCTTAAAATATATACAAAAAGAGATGTTTTTGTTCAACAGGCGAATAGGTATTACATTTGCCAAATTCTCTATTTAAACTTTTTAAACAAATTTATTTTAACATATTTAATACACTAATTTTCACATTATTATTTAGTTAAATAAATTAAAATAAAAATTTTGAAAAATAAATTATAGTTCTATATATATAAATAAATTAGAAAAAAATTTTTAATAATTACTAAGTATTCGATTATTTTATAAATTTAATATTAAATCAAAAAAAACAAAACAACCATATTTTCAAAACTGAATTACAAATCATAATCGTCAAGTGGTTCGTCCTTTATCCATAGCCCCAACTCATCCGTTCTTATAATACCAGCAAATTCGTCGTCAGAATTGTTGTTGTCAGATGGTGGTTGTGGTGCATTTTGTCTTAAGAGGCTATGACTAAAATTATTAATTGCTCTAGCATTATTTGCATGTACCGTAAAAATTGGTTTTTATTTTTGAATTGGTGCCATAGCAGTCGTAGCAATAACCATAGATAAAGTACCAATAACAGCAACAGATGAATAAGGCGAAGACTTAGAAGTTGTAGCGAAAGTAGGTTCAGTAATATTTGCAGTAGTAGTGACAGTTGTATTTGAAGCATGCAAAGTAATCAGATTGGAAGAGTTTGCTGGACTATTTACTATAGAAGCAGCATTTGCTGTAACTGCTGCATTATTGACTATATTATTCTTGGGGATAATTCGATGTATGGGATGATACACACCGTCTACTTTTTGTATCTTAAGTGGACAACCAAGAATAATCAGATATAACAGTACCGGAACGAGTGAAAGTCTGCAAGAAATTTTGCCAGATAAGCAATTATATAAATTTAGATACATTAGAAACGTTTTTATTAAAAACCATTTTAGTAGATGTATTGATTTATTTAAATTATATACCACAATTTAAAGTATATATCCACATATACGTGTATTTATTTATTAATAGCTTATAAGTACAGAACATTCTATTAGAATTATTATGTTGGAATTATTGTTATTAATAATAATAGTATTAGTTCCTCTATATTTATATACATTTTTATATTCTACATTCTATGAACATGTATTTTATTGTATTTTATCTATTTTTATATTGTTATATTATATATAAATGCTTCACATATGTATTTTGGCTTAAAACTATACTAAAATTAACATTGAGAATTAAAATGTGTCAAAGGCCACTACTATTACTCTACTAAAGTACAAAAGTAGCACTACTAAAGTAGTGTAATACTCCATAACATAGGACTTTGAGTTGAAGTCTGATTATGATCCGTGAAAATTGTACAATTTGCGAGTTTTAATAATAAAAAACTATTACATTTGTTTTAACGTACCATGTTTCTAAATTAGTATTAACTCTCAATTGGTAAACTTAACATATGACGTATACATATCCGATTGGAAAGTCTGGATTCAATCAAGATTTACTCTAGATCTGTCAAATGTTGTTCAATCGAACATTTTTAAGGTATTCTAACATTTTTTTAAGTAGTGTTAGTAGACATTTTTATTTTTCATAAATACATATATCGATCACATCATACATTATTTGTCAAGTCACATTAAACAGCTGTTAATTTCGGGGTAATCGTGCTACTCTGGCAAAATATCTAGACTGTCATATTCGAGTTAATCTCGAGTGCTGCGCATTAATCTCGAGTGTTATGCAGATTAACTAATCAAAAATGAAAATTAAACCTTAAACCAAGAGTGAATCTCGATTAAAAAAGTAACACCAGATTTACCAATTGAAGCGCCATTACAATAAATTTTTTTATGATTTATATTTATTGAACACTATTAAAAAGCGTTCAAATATTTATAATACAGTATTAATTTCTATACATACGTACAAATAATATATAAATTTATTTGTGTTTTGCTTATGTTTCACATATTCAT